TAATAGTAATAATAATGATAACAATAGCTTTATTCTGCACAATAAGTTTACACAATATGCACAATTTTCAGCCTAGTTTATTGCATAATATTTTTTTCTCTTCATCCAGAAGTTTTTCTAGTAAAACAGCCATCTCCAGTAAATCATGTGATGCAATGAATGCTTTTCGATCTGAAGAATTAAATAATCTTTTATGGTGAGCGACGGTAGAGTGCAAATCAATTTAAAAATGTGCGTGAGTACATTTGGCAACTTATGGACATAATTGAATGATTATGCCAACAAGAATTAAAGAAAATAAAATGCATTGTATTGATTGGAAATTCAAGTAGCCCAGTGACTCAAGCAGGTCGCCAAGAGAGTACGTCGGTGGCACAGCGATTAGGACTTTCGCCCACCATCCACATGATCCAGGGTTCGATCCCCTTCCGATGCACACCTGATATCAATGGTCGGCCTGCAAAATTTGGGTTACCGATATTGCATGTTGAGAATTCCATACTTCTATCAAAAATACGATGTTGGAATCAAGCTATAATTAAAAAATAATAATAATTAGTGGAAGTTAGCAACAGATTGTTTGTCAGCAAGAAATTTAGTTTTTGAGGTACAAAAGGGATGCATATTTACTAGTGTAACTGTTTCTGTGGGGTTAGTTACTTTAAGCGTACGATTAAGCAAATTCATCGTCGAATTTCTAAACACTACCCATCTTGGTTAGTCCAAGGATCGAATGAAGCTATACACAGCTCAATAAGAGCTCATCTCATCTGCACAGGACATCAGATTGACATAGGAAAAAACTTTTAAAGTTATTTATCGCATGCTCTATAAGTGAGACTTTTACATATAATAGAGGCAATCACAATTCATTTAAAAAAAGCCACATCTGTGTGTTCAAACGAAATTTCTGCAGTCAATTTCTATGCCGTGACCGTCTACATGGCAACAGTCAGTACAGAGTAGACAGCAACCTCAGATAACCTTGATACAGCCAGTTAGATTCTTCCAGGTGAAAAGTGGCACTTAATTAATAAAAAAATGTGTACCTATGATAAATATGTAATAAAAATGAATCGTACAGGGCATAAAATGATATCATCATTCTATTTCACAGGTTCTCAACAGCTGCAAACTACCTGAAATTACAATGGTTATAAATAATAACATTTCATACTTCAATGTTTGAAAGGTAATAGTGAAAACATTATAAGATGAACACATCTGAAATATAAGTATTACAGTTTTTATTGTTATTATTTATAACCATTGTAATTCCAGGTAGTTTGCAGTTGATGAGAACCTGTGAAATAGAATGATATCATTTTATACTGCAAATCTGGTCTTTCTTTCTCTATCGAAATTAATCAAGGGAACCAAATGTATGAAATCATACACAAGGCATATATCTCTAATATGCTGCAAAAACTCGCCTCAGTTTCTCATAGAAGTGGTTATAGACATATCAAACCAATGTATTCTCTATTCCTCCAGCTGTAGCAGATACTGGTTGCATATATGCAATATATTTCTAAGAGAGAGCTTTGATTTCGAGAAGAAAGTGTCTAAAAAATCACCAATCATTTACGACTTACCAACTTATACAGACTTCCTCATATAAAATGGTCGCATTTGAATGTGTAACCATCAATAGCCCAGCAATACTTTTTCAGAGTCATTATCCCCCCCCCCACACGTGCTTGTTTTAATCCTCCGTATCAACCCATTTTCCACAGAGAAGTCAAAAACCATATCTAGGAGACACTTTCAAAGAGGATTATGACTAGGAACCATTTGTAATGCTGAGCTATCTGACTGGTCGAATCAAGGTCATTTGATTTGGGTGTCTACTGTTTACTCTTACCGTCTACATAATATGTACAAACTCATACAAATCATTTTCCCCTATTCCTTGTAATTATTATTTGATTCTGTTATTTTATTATGATTGCTATTTGTCTCTTAGAATCCTCATGTTGCTTTCTTGTTTTTTTATTCCTTTATGTACCTAGTGGAGTATAGGGTTTCAAGCTAGAGGCTTGAAGTTTCGGCAGCAGTGGTGTTTACTTTCTACGGGGTGTGGTTGCTAGCCTCATGCCCAACCTTCCCTCTTTACCAGTCTTGTTGCTGGCTTAGCGAGGTAAAGGAGTGTATCGGCCGGAGATCGAACCTCAGACTACATGAGTCGTGGTTGGCGAACATTCTACCGCTGTGCCACCGACGCAAAATCCTCGTGTAATTCTTTAACATATTCTTCTTTCTCTGCTTCAAATCACTGAAAATACTCATTGAGTCATGAAGAAAAATAAAAGACAGATTCAGCGAAGAAAATTTCCTTTATCGACGAAATCATCTTCAGAGGCTGTACAGTTGTATTTATACATACAAAAATATGTAGTGGTCTATTATTGAGTAATAGGGGGTGACAAAATTGATATAAATCCTCAGAAGTGGCTTTGAAAATTGTAAATTACGTGGTACTCAACGGCACAAAGATAGAAATTTGATAAGGTTAAAATTGCTATTGAGTGAGAATAAAAGAATTTGAGTGTCAATTTGACAAGTGTGAAGAGGGTATGAAATGTACAGAAGGAGCATGTGAGAGTTAATTATTTAAGCAAAAGCAAACTAAAAGCAAAAGAAAAGAAGAAATTTTTTTTACAGGGAACGACTAGTGAAGAGGTTAAGACCAAGGTAGAATAAGAGACTAGATAAACTTTTTCTGTATGATAGAGAAGATTTGAAGTATGCGCTGAAGATGTCGCCTAGTAGGGCGATGAAAGCTTCGCAAATTAACTATCCAGCTCAGAGAACACAACCCCATCAAAAACTTTTTCTGTATTGACGAATTGCCAGCGCCTCCGCCAAACACAAAAGCCGAGACCTGACACCTTCTGTACCATTTGGCTTCACTTTGTAGATGATCTTGAAAGACGACTCTGGTGGAGCTACGTGGCCTGAGTTCACCGAGTGCTCGAGAATTGAGCTAGTACCACGTAATTTACAACTGTCAAAACCACTTCTGAGTAATTATATCAATTATTTCAACCCCTTTTGCTCAATAATAGACCACTATATATTTTTGGTAAATATAAATATGACTGTACAGCCTCTGAAGATGATTTCGTCGATAAAGAAGCATTTTCTTCGCTGAATTTGTCTTTTATTTTTCTTCATATTCTTCTTTGTCATCATTATTTTATAAATTATTGAATATTTAATAACTCCTACCAATGAACTCATCTTGAATTCTGTAGTTACTGTCACCTCTCCTATACCTCAAAAATTATATTTCTTGTCGACTAACAGTCTGTTGATAACTTTTCCTAGTGTCAAGTAATTTAAAGTAATAAGATTTATTAACTAAGCTGTATGTCACTGTCATATCTTAAAATTGTTCACCATATTTGAATGCATTTCACGAGTTCTATCGAAAACATATCTTCAGGTAGCATTAGAATTATCCCCTACAATTCGTTAACTCTCGCATTCTGCCTATTGTTCTCTATTGTTCCCCCTTAGTTTTTCCAGGGCTACTGAAGAAAGACTACAGCATATTACGTAGAATGTTAAAGGTTGTCAGCAGGGTAAGCAACGTGCCACTTAACCAGCTTGTTAATATCCTGGTCGACAGGCACATGGACTCATGTGAAAAATGGGCAAAATCCATTTTATCTAACTCACACCATCCTCTTCACTCACAACTCTCCCCTTGCATCTCATCAGGTAAAACCGGAAGCCTATAGAGAAAACTATATGCTCGCACCAGCAAGTTCAAAAACTCAACCATACCCTACTTAGCTCGTGTTCTGTGCAACAAAGAAAGCATTAGGCGTGACACCTATAATTCATTAAATAGTCAGTAGTACAACTGGACCTCATCTTTCCAACTCATATCATTTATAGGTACAACATTTTCTTTCTTTCTTTTCCTTTTCTCTCTCTTTCTTTTTCCGTTATGCGCTGCTTTGTCTCTTTCTCTCGCTTACGCCAGTAAATATGATAGCACCTACTTTTCTAACACCTTCACACACTGTTCAACTTTGGTTTTGCTACAGACATGCCAATATGTTGTTGTCATAATGAACTGAGAATTCCTTAATCTATGTAAAATTTTATTTATTGATAATGTACTAACTGGATGCATTAGAATTATTCCCAATTCAGATTCCCCTAATGTTGTTTCTCTTGCTAATTTTCAATTTCAACGAATGATTTCTATTCCTCTCTCATGTATAAGTCAAAGATATGCTACAGTTAAGTACCAAAGTCTCTATCGAAATCGAATACTGTTCAAGGGGAATCACTGTTATAATTAGACTATCGAATTATCTAAGTGACTTTGAAGTTTCATTCATATAAATTAATAACTTCATGTATATATGTAAATACACTTATCTACAAATCTAATCACTATACTATTCTGTATTAGGTTTCCCTTTCGACCGCCTTCTGTCAGTGTTGTACATTTCTGAGAATCTAATGTCCAATATAAATTATTCACTACCTTTCCCTCCCCTCCCACGAAAAAAAAGATTCAAAAACTATATCTAACAGTAATAGTAACTTTTGGAGAATTTACTGAATGAATAATAAACTAAACTAAATACTACTTGGCCAGCTGTTATCAGTAATACTGCTACAACTTCATACAACAGCATTTCTCTCTTATCTTTTTAATGTGTTTATAATGCGCGCTAAAAGTAGAATTAGAAATCTTTATTTATCAAAGGTTATATTTTAAGTTATTAAACAAAATATATCATTAATTAGTGGTGTTCCTTTGACATTGATCATATGCCTCTTCTTTGTCCTCTTCGTCGCCATCATGTTAATGACTATGGTGACCATGTTCATGACCATGATCCTTATGGTCGTGATGACCGTGTTCACCATGATCATGTTTATCCTTTTCGTAACTGTACTTATCATATTTTTCGTAGTCCTTGCTGTCACTGTATTTATCATACTTGTCAGAATTGTAATCATACTTTTCATAGCCTTTTTTATAATCATATTTATCGTTATTCTTGGCGTAGTCATATTTGTCATAATCTTTGTCGTAACTCTTTGAGTAGTCATATTTGTCGTATTTCTTGGCGTAGTCGTATTTATCGTAATCTTTTTCGTATTTCTTGGCGTAGTCGTATTTATCGTAATCTTTTTCGTATTTCTTGGTGTAGTCATATTTGTCGTAATCTTTGTCGTATTTCTTGGCGTAGTCGTATTTATCGTAATCTTTTTCGTATTTCTTGGCGTAGTCGTATTTATCGTAATCTTTTTCGTATTTCTTGGCGTAGTCGTATTTATCGTAATCTTTTTCGTATTTCTTGGCGTAGTCGTATTTATCGTAATCTTTGTCGTAACTCTTTGAGTAGTCATATTTGTCGTATTTCTTGGTGTAGTCATATTTGTCGTAATCTTTGTCGTAACTCTTTGAGTAGTCATATTTGTCGTATTTCTTGGTGTAGTCATATTTGTCGTAATCTTTGTCGTATTTCTTGGTGTAGTCATATTTGTCGTAATCTTTGTCGTATTTCTTGGTGTAGTCATATTTGTCGTAATCTTTTTCATAACTCTTTGAGTAGTCATATTTGTCGTAGCTCTTCGAGTAGTCGTACTTATCATAATCCTTGTCATAACCCTTGGAGTAGTCATATTTGTCGTATTTCTTGGTGTAGTCATATTTTTCGTAATCCTTGTCGTAACCTTTTGAGTAGTCATATTTGTCGTAGCTCTTCGAGTAGTCGTATTTGTCATATTTCTTGGTGTAGTCATATTTGTCATAATCCTTTTCGTATCCTTTCGAGTAGTCATACTTGTCGTAATACTTATCATAACTCTTTGTATAGTAGTCATAAGTATCATATTTCTTAGTATAGTCATATTTATTGTAATCTTTTTCATATTCTTTCGAGTAATCATATTTGTCATAATTCTTAGTATAACCGTACTTGCTGTAGTCTTTTTCATAATCCTTTGAGTAGTCATACGTGTCATATTTCTTGGTGTAATAATACTGATTGTAATCTTTATCGTAGCTCTTCGACGTGTCATACTTGTCATAGTTGTCACTGCTATAGGTATATTTATTGTAAATCTTCCCAGTGCTATATTTATCATAATATTTACCATATCCATACTGGCTATAATCATTGTAGGCGTAATCTTTGGAAGTACTGTAGGTATCATATTTGTTGTAATCTTTGTAATTGTATTTGTTATATGTTTTGCTTGGATAACTGTTATAATATGTAGCAGTAGTATAAACAGATTTATCATTGCTTGTAGTGTAATACTTATCGTATGCCTTGTTGTAGTCATTACCATTATAACTGTTACCATAGATATCTACAGCAGTTGAATAATATTTCACTCCACCATGAGGACTATAGCTTCCGCCATTTCCATTAACATAACCACCACCAGTGTAACCACTATAACCACTATATCCACCATATGAACTACTGAATACACTTTGAAGAAAACATAAAAATATGAGATTGAATAATTTTCGCATGTTGTTTTTTTATCCTGAACAGTGAATATATATATATTGTGTCTTCCAACTAATCTGCTCAACTGTATGTACTCATGATCAACTGCTTATATACATGAGTATTTATACACAATTAAATTCACAAAGTACATCAGTCTAGTTCATTAATAGAATTTTGCGTAATATTTTATTATTTAGCAAAGTTCATCTAAGTTGAAAAGCAAAATAGTAATATTTAATAAAAAGTGCATAAAAGTTCTTTAAAATCATTTTATTACGAAATAAGTTAAATCTTTTCTAACTAAGAAACATAATAATGTACAAAAGCATAATACAGTTCATAAATTATTGACAGATACCCTTACCCCAGACTTACTGTGTCATTCTTGAATCAGTGATATAGAGTGCCTATTCAAAGCTTCTTAGATGGTTCCAGGTTGTGAACTTTTGACTCATTCGTCTAATGTCACACTCATAGATTGTGTAGCTATAACTTCACACATAATCAGCATATATATACCACTGTAGATCGGTTTCACATCTGATCTGAAGATTTTAATTCCATAATGCGTTGTCATTGACTTTATCGATGCGCCGGTGGAACCGAGCATGCACATGGTCCGGGGTTCGATCCCCGGCCACCGACGCACTCCTTTACCTCGTTGAGCCAGAAATAATGCTGGTGAAGAGGAAAGGTTGGGCATAGGTCTAGCAACCCCATCCTGTGAAATAAACACTGCTACAGAAACTTCAAGCCACTAGCTTGAAGCCCTATGTTCCACTGGGGAGCGTGAAGGAAAAAAAATGACTTTATCAAATACTAGTAACCTCAGCGAACTGATTTATAACAGAGCTCATATATTCTATGACCATATAATGATAACAATAAACACTTTATTTCAATCAATAATAGTTATACAGAGTGGAATTTTCAGCGCTTTTATACATATTGCAACAATTTAGCTCCTTTTATAAATGTGTACATACATAAAATTTAAAATAGTAATAACAGGATTAATAATGAAGCTATTATAAACAGAATGATGGTGGAGACATAATGAAATATAAGTAGATATTATCATAGATAATACATGTGATAATAATAATAATCTTTGCTTATCCTTTTCAGTTTAGATTACTGATTTAAAAAGTTTTTAAGGTTTTTTTTTCTGACATCTGACTCTCTCTTCATACACAACCACCCGTGCTAAATATGGTGGTCAACAGCACTCAGCATCAAAACGAAGATAAGATCCGGATTTTCAACTCCAATGTGAAGTCAGTGCTACTATACGGATCAGAGACTTGCACTGCGCGTCATAATGAGCATCTCAAACAAACTACAGACCTTCATTAACAGTCGTCTTCGCTCAATACCACTCAAAATCAGATGGCCGGCCAGAAAAGATCAGCAACAGAGATCTCTGGGAGCGAACCAACCCGGCAGGAACCGATTGTGAAACAAATAGGCAGGAAGAAATGGAGATGGGTTGGCCATACTCTGAGGAAACCATCAAGTGATATCACTAGACAAGCCATTGCTCGAGTGGAACCCGAAAGGGAAGTGGCAAGTTGGTCGTCAGTGCAAGGGTGACTTGGATGAGGTCATGTGAAGAGGAAATGAAAACGTGTGGGCAGACATGGAGCAAGGTGAAGACTCCAGCAGAGAACCGAATGCAATGGAGACGCACGGCTGAAGCCCTATGTTCCTCTAGGAATTAAAGGATATAATAAATAATAATATATCAGCTGTAGGGGCATAAATTCTAATGAAATTTCTTATGGTTTTACCCCCCTCCCCTCCCCGAAGAGATACAGGGAGAAAGGTGAGAATAAAGGGGATGTTCAGTATCAGACAAGACAACTTTAGCTAAATATGTTTGCAAGAATTGAAGTGCCTATTGACAATGATGTCAGTTAGCTGAGTCAAAGGTACACCAGTAACCCTACTTACAATCTTCAATGTTCCATGTAATATGACAAAGTCTTTTTTGAGAAGCCCAGGGAAGAATAGGGACGAACAAGATAGGAGAATGGGCAGAATACATGAAGGAATAAATTGTAAGAGAAGAGGTTGAGTTATGCCAGCAGTAGGAAGTCTCAACTTTGATATGGAATAAGTCAAACGAAACGTTTTCTCGGAAATCAACGGGATGTGTGACGACCACCAACAGAGATTAGAAAAGAGGCTGATATCGAGATGAGAGATATTCGATTTTCTCCCTATCACAGTGCCGTCAGTATTACAGGAATCATGCAACTGAATCAGTCCATGCAAGTCTTGTTCACATCTGAAATTAAAATCAACAATATGACATTTAGGTGGATTAAATTTAAGATCATTTAGTTGAGCCCATTTTTTAACTTCGGACAAGAATCTATTCATATAAGAACAATCCATAGCAGAAACTATTGGGACAGAAATGGTAAGATATACACTGCACACAAAAGAATTGTTATATTCAGAATCAAGGAGGTTCCTAACATGAATAAGATTTCAGCTGACTGGTAACCACCATTGACTCAGTATTGATACGATATGTGATACTTGCAGATAGTTCTGATCAACTACTGAGAATCTACTGTCTATATTTTCTTTCCTTCACGTTCCTCAGTGGAACATAGGGCTTCAAGCTAGTGGCTTGAAGTTCCTGTGGCAGTGTTTATTTTACAGGATGGGGTTGCTAGCCTCATGCCCAACCTTTCCTCTTCGCCAGCATTATTTTTGACTTAGCGAGGTAAAGGAGTGCGTCGGTCGTGGATTGAACCCCGGATCATGTGCCTGGTCGGCGTGCCACCGACGCACTAACATGAGCACCCATATGCCAGAACTCCCGGTCCCGCGAAATTTCGCACCCTGGACTCCAAGTAGCTAGATTACAGGCGTACGCCACCACGCCCAGCCACTGTCCATATTAACGTAATATAAACTAGCTGCTACAATACACATTAGATCAATAAAGAAGGTGGAATTAAAAAACGATTCCAACAGTTGGCAAGTATTTATTTGGTGGATGGTGACTAGCAGTGGAATCAAGGACAACACTCATTTCATCCTATTTGGGACTCGTCATCTGGATGTGCCTGCATCCCCCAGTGAGTGGTGATCTTCCCTTCGAGGCTCGAACCCAGTGCCCATAGTTTCAAATGCCAAAGCGTTATCTACTAGACCATTTCGGCCACGAGAGCCACTGTCTCTTGTGCAACGGGTCATATTAGTTATTCAGTTGAATTGGGGAATGCAGGTACACCCAGCCGACGAGTCCAAACTGGACGAAATGCTCATCCTGGATTCCACTGCTAGTCACCATCCCCCAACTAACTTCTAATTACATGCCCAGACATCGTCGAAGAATCTGCACAAGAAGGCGACATGTCAACCTGAGACCGAGCACTTCGGTCCAATCAATCGAGAGGAAAATCTAAAATTCATTTGAATAGTTGGGAGGTAATTTTGCGCAAAATATTACCAAAAACAAAAACTTATCATTGTTTGTAAACTATTGAAATATAACTATAATTTATTTGATGGTATAGAGTGAAATGATAATAGACAGATAGGCAAGAATTTAATGGAGTCGAAATGATGTAAACGCATACTTAAAAATGACTTATCGGATCATGTTAGAGTCTTGTAATAGTCTACCTCGTTACAGACTCCTGGTAGCATGCCTCAAAACTGATCACAACAGCGTGTATATGTATAGTGAAAACCTCTCGTTTCTATTTATTTATTGTCTTTCCTGTGAGACTCAAGTTTGTCTACTCTAGAATCACTAGGACATATTTTACCCTCTTTAATTCGTGCCAATTCGAAGCGTAGGGACTCGAAGAAGGGCTCTATATTGACTCGTCTCTGTCTAGTCAATTATTCACGATGACATGTATCACTTGTTCCTACTACTACCACTATTACTACTACTACTACTGTGGTGAGTGCTACTTATATTCCAATATAAGTAGTATATCAGAAAGCGAATTCAGAAGAGTAACAATATGTTTTACACACTGGAAAAAGCGATCAAAGAAGAGAACCATGAGAAGAATGTTGCCATATGATGCAGAATCCAAGAAACTATCGAATGTGACGATATCTGACCTATTCGTCAAGGATGTGGTAAATGATGTGCAAATGGCAGTTTGAAAATATTGTATACCAAATTTAGCTATGTACAATACGTTTCACTTAATATACAATCCTTTCAGCCTCCTTGGTCTTTTCTTCTTCACACTACTACTACTACTCTAGGTCAGCAGTATATGTAATACCGTTTTTAATCCTCAATTTAATTGCCATTTGTGGGATTTCTTTGTGCTAATAGTCGTCAAATAACTTGTGGAAAATGATGAGTGGTGTATATTTTCCTCATAATCAGTG